TTATACCTGATGATGACAAAAACTTGTCGAAACGTTGTACATTTGCTGTTATGTTAAACTTATATCAAAGTTTTTTTTCATTACCCATTCAAGCCATCTCCAACCATTATTAGTCTCAAAGTGAGTTCCTCGTCATCGAATTTAAAGAATATTTGTTCATCATCAATTCACATCGAAGATAATTTGCATTTTTTGTGCTCATGAGCGATCAAAAAGTTATGATAAATCGTATTACAAAGCTAGTGCTTTCGACAGGTGGACTTTTCTTCAGAGGTAAATATATGGATGTTCGAGGATTACACTTCCGATATTCCTCCAACATTCCATTAAATTAAAAATATATCAACGAAATGATGTGACAAGTTTCTAAACTATTAGTCTCTTTCAATCTAGTTACACACACACAACTCTTCTATGAATCTTTCAAATGGAATATATTCTTTTATTGGCAATATATCAGAAAAATGTAATTTATTAGGTTAGGTCAATATAATGAAAGTTTTCATTCGTAAACGCAATTTGACCATTTGCAGACGTACAGACTTACATATCTTACTCTTTTATTTCTTCCTTATCTAAACAAAAGAAAACAATTACTAAATAGTCTAAAATCTCCTATCCAACAACTTAAAATAGGTTTTTTTGAGTTGGTTAGTTTGATAAGTTTAAGATCCACTTCATCACGCGACCGAGTAAGTGAGGAAATATTGACTAAAGAAGGTTTAGGTGGAAAATCGCAAATCATCTTTAAAGGTACAAAATATATTTGCTAACTTTGAAATATTTATTAGGAAGGTATTTTTGGATATGCTACCACAAATATTTTATAACTATTGACAAAAGCGTGCGCTAGAGAATCAAATCGTCCTTTTCAAAGTGTGCCTGAAAAGGGAAGAAATACGGGGTGTATTAGAAATGAAGTGTATAAATTCAATTCATTAAGGACATAAAAGTATTTGGCAATTTTTAATGATATTTTAAATAAACTGGATTTATATTAGAGCACATGAAGGTTTGCGATGCTATAAATGGACTAAAACATTTACATTTAAGAATTATTAAGTTTTAAAACCTATCTAAGGTTCATTTACCAGTTTCTACAAAGCCCCACGCTGTTCTTTCTTCATCAAGAGGAGAGTCAGCTCGTTTGCCCCAGACTCCTTTCAAGTTGTTCCAGTTGTTGCTCCTCTTTCCCCACATTCCGGATAAGTTGTTCCATCCTCGCTTTCCCCACATTCCAGACAAGTTGTTCCAACCCCGTTTGCCCCACATTCCGGACATGTCGTTCCAGTTAGAGCCTCGTTTGCCCCACATTCCAGACAAATCGTTCCAGCTAGACCCTCGTTTTCCCCACATTCCGGATAAGTTGTTCCAGCCTCGCTTTCCCCACATTCCGGATAAGTTGTTCCAGCCTCGTTTGCCCCACATCCCAGAAAGATTATTCCAACCTCTCTTTTCATCAGCTTCATTTTCTACGTTTGCAAGTGCTGCTTCTAATGCCGGATCCGTATCAGTCGACTTAGATTTGACTTGTATAACGACGTAAAGTACAAATAAAAGATAAGCAACTCCAATCGTGGGATACTGCATTCTGTCCCTAGAGAAAAGAAATTTGAACGTAGATTTAACAATAAATTTTTAATTAAAGTCAAAGTGAAGTTGTAATGCTGTTACAATACCGAATTTTGTGGATGATTGGTTACTAAAGAAGATGGAGGATGTCTTTAAAAATACACTTAATATTCTTTTGAAACTAAATATCTTTTGAAAGAGCACTGTTCCTCTTAGAAAAAAAAGATACATAACAATTTACATAAATATCATCACGTTTTATCTGATCATGCCACGATGTACAAAATGTATTCAATATAAAGTACTATCACCAAATCTGACAAATAATGAAAACAGACATCTAAACAAAATTATCGACTTGAAATCCCTTGAAAGTATCATTGAGACTTTACATTTTTTACATGTGAATATTTGTTTACATAATGAAACAAAATACCTTTACAAGAAAGCAATTTTCAAATGTTTTACAAATTTAAAACGACTATGAAACGTACACAACTGATCAACTGATTGCTAATCTAAGAACTTGCAAGTATTTTACAATAAATTTGATCCAGCACTTGCAATAAAAGAAGCGTTTAAGCTACATAAATGTTCATACGTAAAAACAAACAAAACTGCGTGGAAACGAACTCAAAAGAGTACAAGAATCACACCAGAGGTCAAGGGTCAAGTATATGTTCGATTCCTGTGTTACAATGAGCCAGTCCTATTTATTGTATCAATGTTGTTGTTTTTTCACAGCTGATTAGATATGTAATTTTCTCGAATGGAATTTATTCAACAATCTATCTACATTAGGCAAATTAAGAAAATATTGTTTATATTTATCAAATCTTTCTGAAAAAGTCCCCCGGTGGGACAGTGGTAAGTCTTCGGACTTACAACGATAAAATCATTGGGTCGATTCTCCTCGAAGGACACAGCAGATAGCCCGATCTGGTTTTGCTATAAGAAAAACACACTTTCTGAAAATTGTAACATTACTACAATCTAACTGATCATTTTATTTAACGCAAGAACGCACTTGACAGTTCTCATTCGAATGTCACTTGATATTTTATAATATACTACTATTATGTTTGAAAGGGACGAGAGTAGTCCATGAAACATTTAGAAATTTTATTAAGTTAAAGGGTCTAAAACTTTAACACTTATTCTAGCTTTTAGCCTAACAATGGTGAAGATCGTATTTATTACTTTAACAATTTAGTTTTTTAAAGAAAAAAAGAAAACTCGACATTTCATCACTTCGGAGGTGAAAGAAACCTGTATTAATTAATATTCAGAAGAACAGAAAGAGAAAGTTGATTAGTTTCAAGGTGTACAGCGTGTAAAGCAAGTCAGCTTACAATTCAGTTAAGTTAAAATTACGGTAAAATAGAATACTTTATACACGTGACCGTTTACAATACGTCGTCCAAATCTCAGTTTGAAAAATGCAAGTTTATATTTTTAATATTCAAATATGAATCGTTCATCTAAGAAGTATAGAAAATTGCTCAGTAATTGATATAAAAGACTCCTTCCCGTTCTTGTTTTAAATTTATATTTTACATTTATAGTTAAGAGGTAGATTTAGCAGTTTTTGCCACTAGCTTCTTAATTTCAAAGTTAATTTGTTTTTGTTGCTGAACTTAAATCTATTCAATAGATTTTCTCTTCTTTGCGCACCGGAGGAATCGAAACTTAATTTTTAGCATTATAAGCCTGCAAGCTTACCCCTGGAAGCGTTAATAAGAATTTTATTAGATGAATTTTGTTAAATGACACTGTCGACTGTTTATTTCAGTGTTTAACTAACCTCTTCTGTCGAGGTCTGTGAAGATGTTGGTTAGTAATAGTATACACAGTGATTTCTTATACGTTACGAATATAGAACGAGCACAACGAATCTACTTTTAAGAAAGTAAAGTTTTACATCTTAATAAGCATGCAGTAAAGTTACCTTTACATAAGTATGCTCTTTGCTTTAAGAACCACTTCTTCACAAGACTGAAGTTACGTTTACGTGAAGCTATTAGCTCGTCTACAAAATCTGGAAAGGGCATTATCAAGTAGTCCGAGTAGATTTTGTGTCTATCAGAATGCACAATACTTCCCAGACCTTAATCGAATTTTGGCGGGATCTTTCACGTCAAATGGACACCTTTTACAAGGACAAATTGAGTTCTTCGGTGGGAAAAATATAAGAAAGGAATTTTGCTTCACTGTAGGCGTTGTTGAAATTTAATTTCGAGAGTTCGTTAATAGAGTAAAAATCGCTGAAAACAAAATTACGTATACGATAATTTAAAATCAGAAGCACACATACAAACTAATTCAAACACTCGACTTTTAAACCAATTGAACAGACATGCAAGTGTAATATTTTAAGCATTCAGAATTAAAGCTTAAAATTTAGCCAATAAAGTGGTTTCAGATAAGAGAAGACTCTTAAATGTCAAAACTACTGACTGTAATCGATTGCATATTGCCAAGCTAGTTTTTTAATACTCGTTTTTAGATAAGATCATATATAAATTTTATTCAACGTAACATTATGAAAAGAGACATCTGAACATAATCATATCCTTGAAATCTCCTAAATGTACCCTCGGATACTACACTTTTTATACATCAATATTTGTTTAGACAATGAAACCCTTTACATAAAGATAATGGTTCAAATGTCTTACAAATTAAAAAAAAAAAACATAACTGATAGCTCATCTGTGACCTTGCGAGTATTTTACACAACGTTTTGCTGAGTACTTGAATGACAAGCTCATTGCTAAAATATATTCAGTTAAAAGAAATATTTAAGCTGCAAAAATGTTCACATGTGAAACAAAAACAGATTTGCATAGAGATCAACACAAAAGATTGCAAAACTTATACCCAGAGGTCAAGATTCAAGCATGTATCCGATTCTCTAATTGAAATTCAAAAGTAGTTGGATTAAATCATAAAATAACTAAAAGACCACAACAACTAAAAAAAGTTAATACGAAACCCAACATTTTGGAAACTTACCATCACGGAATGTATATATATATATATACATATATATATACTTCTCCATTTGTACGCAAACTTAGATACAAAAGTCACATAGAAACAAATAAAATGATTCTAATCGTACTTGTCAAAATAACATTAATATTCCTAAGACTGTCTTCCCTGATGAGAAAGGCGTTAACATTAATATTCCTAAGACTGTCTTCCCTGGTGTGAAAGGCGTTAACATTAATATTCCTAAGACTGTCTCCCCTGGTGTGAAAGGCATTAACATTAATATTCTTAAGACTGTCTTCCCTGGTGTGAAAGGCGTTAACATTAATATTCCTAAGACTGTCTTCCCTGATGTGAAAGGCGTTTTCGAACCACTTTGTTGTATTTTACGCAAAGTATATTTCCAAGTAGCACATAGACCCTACAGCACTTAAGAAATATATTCAATGTGCGAAATGCTAAGGATAAACTTCCTAAGGAATAGTGTTTATTATACTTCATGTGTTAATTATGACAATGTGCTTATAGGTCAATTATCCAAAACTTCAAACGCTCGATAAGATGAACAAAAAAATAGAATTACAGTTAGACCTTACTGCTTATTCAGGTTTGGCAGAACATGCTTATAATGAACTCCATGATTTTACTTAGCAGACTCCTTCAATTCTTTCTAAAGAGATCAAAATTAACCTTTAAAAATGGTTATTTCTAGAAATATGGATTATTGTTGAAAAATGATATCCTACACCGTGATGAAGGAATCAATTTTCACCCTCCGTATTTTAATGAGTTTAGCTGTTGACGTCACCTTGGGTGTAATTCATGATGTGGCCTAGCTTATTTAGCTATGTAATACCTAATGAAGAAAGCTGATAAGGTCTTGAAAAGTTGGGTCTTCGTTTCAAAAGATTTTGGTCAATCTTTTAGACACTTCAATTCAATTCTCTGTTTTACATACATGCTTCACAACTTACTAAGTATCTGTCTGTACACAGAGACATACCCTATTTATACGTCTAATACTGCTGAGAGTCAGGCAAGTACTGAGTCAATTTTCGTTTTCAAAGTTGATTAAATACGCTTTGTTTTTCTAGAATGAATTGTATATTTACCCGTGCATGCGATCCAGAACAAAAACGCGCATAGTACTTTGGATGCGTTATAATGGTGACGGTCAAACCCCACTATTCAGTTAGGCAAGAGCATCCCAAGAGTTAGCGGATGGTGTTATCGACTATCAGCCTTCTCTTTAGTCTACCAGTTAAAAATTAGGAACAAGTAGCGCAGATGACTCTTGTATAGCTTTGAGTGAATATTCGAGACCAAAGAATATCCATTCTATCTATCCATCTGTTTATCTCCCTTAAATTCAGAGATAGAGAGGTATGGGAAAACATTATTGAAACTGTTATGTTCTGAAAAAAATTCGGAAAACCCAGTGAATGGAAATAATTTCGCGGTAGAAGTATGACATCTGACATTTTCAACCTGAGAAGTGCCTTTAATGACACTTGGTCTGAATGGCCAGAACAAAGACCCCAAAATTAAGACATAGCTGTCCCTAATTTATAACACCTGACAAGAAAGAGGGCAACAGTCAGAAACACGGCTACCCTTAACTCAATAGCAAAACTCACTGTCACTTTTATTATGCACCCATGACTGAAATTGTGTACGTGTTCAGCAGCATATCGCATACTTAAACCTAGGATCTTTCGATTCACAGTTCGATACCGTAACCATTAGACCAGCACGGCCCTCGTGACACAGATATATTTAAATCAATCTTCCTTCTCCCATTCGTGATGGGCCGTTCGTGACCTGGTGACTAGCTGTAACAGGCTCCGAAACTTGGTGATTAGCTTTAACAGACTCTAAAACCTAGTGACTAGCTTTAACAGACTCTAAAACCTAGTGACTAACTCTACCAGGCTCTGAATCCACTGATGAAAAAACGCGTTTCTCACTTTGGGGTTGTGGGTGCGCTATACGGGTGATAATAGAAACCCACTCCCCTTTTCGATCAGTAGA